AGAGCCTGCGGAGACTGTAAAGTCTTACTGAGGCCCTTGGTCACATTGTGCATGTTTCCTGGTATCAGGTTAACTCTTCGAGAGCCTGCGGAGACGGAAACATATTACTGAATCACCTAGTCACATTGTGCATGTTTCCTGGTATCAGGTTAACTCTTCGAGAGCCTGCAGAGACTGAAACATATTACTGAGGCCCCTAGTCACATTGTGCGTGTTTCCTGGTATCAGGTTAACTCTTCGAGAGCCTGCAAAAACTGAAATGTGTTGCTGAGGCCCCTAGTCACATTGTGCGTGTTTCCTGGTATCAGGTTAACTCTTCGAGAGCCTGCAGAGACTGAAACATATTACTGAGGCCCCTAGTCACATTGTGTGTGTTGCCGGGTATCAGGTTAACTCTTCGAGACCCTGCGGAGACTGAAAGTGATACTGAGGCCCCTAGTCACATTGTGCGTGTTTCCTGGTATCAGGTTAACTCTTCGAGAGCCTGCGGAGACTGAAACATATTACTGAGGCCCCTAGTCACATTGTGTGTGTTGCCGGGTATCAGGTTAACTCTTCGAGAGCCTGTGGAGACTGAAACGTGATACTGAGGCCCCTAGTCACATTGTTCATGTTTCCTGGTATCAGGTTAACTCTTCGAGAGCCTGCGGAGACGGAAACATATTACTGAATCACCTAGTCACATTGTGCATGTTTCCTGGTATCAGGTTAACTCTTCGAGAAACTGCAGAGACTGAAACATATTACTGAGGCCCCTAGTCACATTGTGCATGTTTCCTGGTATCAGGTTAACTCTTCGAGAGCCTGCGAAAACTGAAATGTGTTGCTGAGGCCCCTAGTCACATTGTGCGTGTTTCCTGGTATCAGGTTAACTCTTCGAGAGCCTGCAGAGACTGAAACATATTACTGAGGCCCCTAGTCACATTGTGTGTGTTGCCGGGTATCAGGTTAACTCTTCGAGACCCTGCGGAGACTGAACGTGATACTGAGGCCCCTAGTCACATTGTGCGTGTTTCCTGGTATCAGGTTAACTCTTCGAGAGCCTGCGGAGACTGAAACATATTACTGAGGCCCCTAGTCACATTGTGTGTGTTGCCGGGTATCAGGTTAACTCTTCGAGAGCCTGTGGAGACTGAAACGTGATACTGAGGCCCCTAGTCACATTGTTCATGTTTCCTGGTATCAGGTTAACTCTTCGAGAGCCTGCGGAGACTGAAACATATTACTGAGGCCCCTAGTCACATTGTGCGTGTTTCCTGGTATCAGGTTAACTCTTCGAGATGTTAAATATATATATTTTTAAATATATGTGCCAATTTCTATTGAAATCTTCACTCTTTTAAAATGAAAAAAAGAGGACACAATCTTCACACATAAATCACTTCAGCAAGATAAAGTGCTTTATGTGTTTGGAGTGTCTCTTTGAGCTATTTAGCATGTGTCTGATCACTTTAGGACAGGGCTGCCCAACAGGCAGCTCCCCAGATGTTGTAGAACTACAACCCCCACATGATGCTTTGTCATTCTAAATACATTCTAAAGGCATGCAAAGCATCATGGCAGTTGTAGTTCCAGAACATGTGGGAATCTACCTGTTGGGCAGCCCTGCTTTAGGAGCTGAAAGGTTAAATACCTTTGACGATTACAGCTTGATTCTCGGGCACTCACAAAGTTAACTCTCTGACTTTCTGTGGAATATAAACTAACCTTCTCATTGTGAGTAGAATTCGATTTTGGCTACTGCAAACCCTTTTTGCTGTAGAGTGCTTTATAAATTGATAATAATAAGGCCAGGGTTAGTAGAGGACTGAGCTGCAGTTCCATTTGTTGCCTCTGGGGGTTCTGATGCCAGTTTAGCCCAGTATGTTGGACTTAATCAGGGTTATTCATGAAAGTCAGACTTTGAACTTCAATACCCACCACCAGCTGTCAGACATAGTATAGTTCTATAGCTATCACTGTAATATCCACTGCCAGCTGTCAGTCATAGTATAGTTATATAGCTATCACTGTAATATCCACCGCCAGCTGTCAGTCACAGTATAGTTATATAGCTATCGTAATACCCACCACCATCTGCCAGACATAGTATAGTTATATAGCTATCACTGTAATACCCACCGCCAGCTGTCAGACATAGTATAGTTATATAGCTATCACTGTAATACCCACCACCATCTGCCAGACATAGTATAGTTATATAGCTATCACTGTAATACCCACCGCCATCTGCCAGACAGTCACAGTATAGTTATATAGCTATCACTGTAATATCCACCGCCAGCTGTCAGACAGTCACAGTATAGTTATATAGCTATCACTGTAATACCCACCACCATCTGCCAGACATAGTATAGTTATATAGCTATCACTGTAATACCCACCGCCAGCTGTCAGTCACAGTATAGTTATATATAGCTATCGTAATACCCACCGCCATCTGCCAGACAGTCACAGTATAGTTATATAGCTATCACTGTAATACCCACCGCCAGCTGTCAGTCACAGTATAGTTATATAGCTATCACTGTAATACCCACCGCCAGCTGTCAGACATAGTATAGTTATATAGCTATCACTGTAATACCCACCACCATCTGCCAGACATAGTATAGTTATATAGCTATCACTGTAATATCCACCGCCAGCTGTCAGACAGTCACAGTATAGTTATATAGCTATCACTGTAATACCCACCGCCAGCTGTCAGACAGTCACAGTATAGTTATATAGCTATCACTGTAATACCCACCGCCAGCTGTCAGTCACAGTATAGTTATATAGCTATCACTAATACCCACCGCCAGCTGTCAGACATAGTATAGTTATATAGCTATCGTAATACCCACCACCATCTGCCAGACATAGTATAGTTATATAGCTATCATTGTAATACCCACCGCCAGCTGTCAGACATCACTAGTTATATAGCTATCATTGTAATACCCACCGCCAGCTGTCAGACATAGTATAGTTATATAGCTATCATTGTAATACCCACCGCCAGCTGTCAGACATAGTATAGTTATATAGCTATCATTGTAATACCCACCGCCAGCTGTCAGACAGTCACAGTATAGTTATATAGCTATCACTGTAATACCCACCGCCAGCTGTCAGACATAGTATAGTTATATAGCTATCATTGTAATACCCACCGCCAGCTGTCAGACAGTCACAGTATAGTTATATAGCTATCACTGTAATACCCACCGCCAGCTGTCAGTCACAGTATAGTTATATAGCTATCACTGTAATACCCACCGCCAGCTGTCAGTCACAGTATAGTTATATATAGCTATCACTGTAATACCCACCACCAGCTGTCAGTCACAGTATAGTTATATAGCTATCATTGTAATACCCACCGCCAGCTGTCAGACATAGTATAGTTATATAGCTATCATTGTAATACCCACCGCCATCTGCCAGACATAGTATAGTTATATAGCTATCGTAATACCCACCGCCATCTGCCAGACAGTCACAGTATAGTTATATAGCTATCACTGCAATACCCACCACCAGCTGTCAGACAGACACAGTATAGTTATATAGCTATCATTGTAATACCCACCGCTAGCTGTCAGTCACAGTATAGTTATATAGCTATCACTGTAATACCCACCGCCAGCTGTCAGTCATAGTACAGTTATATAGCTATCACTGTAATACCCACAGCCAGCTGTAAAACAGTCATAGTATAGTTATATAGCTATCACTGTAATACCCACCGCCAGCTGTCAGACATAGTATAATTATATTGCTATCACTGTAATACCCACCGCCAGCTGTCAGACAGTCACAGTATAGTTATATAGCTATCACTGTAATACCCACCGCCAGCTGTCAGACATAGTATAATTATATTGCTATCACTGTAATACCCACCGCCAGCTGTCAGACAGTCACAGTATAGTTATATAGCTATCACTGTAATACCCACCGCCAGCTGTCAGACATAGTATAATTATATTGCTATCACTGTAATACCCACCGCCAGCTGTCAGACAGTCACAGTATAGTTATATAGCTATCACTGTAATACCCACCGCCAGCTGTCAGACATAGTATAATTATATTGCTATCACTGTAATACCCACCGCCAGCTGTCAGACAGTCACAGTATAGTTATATAGCTATCACTGTAATACCCACCGCCAGCTGTCAGACATAGTATAGTTATATAGCTATCACTGTAATACCCACCGCCAGCTGTCAGACATAGTATAGTTATATAGCTATCACTGTATTCAGTCTATGGAGGGCTGCAGGGTTCAGTGCTTAGTCTATGGAGGGCTGCAGGGTTCAGTATTCAGGCTATGGAGAGCTGCAAAGTTCAATATTCAGTCTATGGATGGCTGCAGAGTTCAGTATTCAGTCTATGGAGAGTTGCTGGGCTCAGTGCTCAGTCTATGGAGAGTTGCTGGGCTCAGTGCTAAGTCTATGGAGAGTTGCTGGGCTCAGTGCTCAGTCTATGGAGAGCTGCAGGGCCCAGTGCTCAGTCTATGGAGAACTGCTGGACCCAGTGCTCAGTCTATGGAGAACTGCTGGACCCAGTGCTCAGTCTATGGAGAACTGCTGGGCCCAGTGCTCAGTCTATGGAGAACTGCTGGGCCCAGTGCTCAGTCTATGGAGAACTGCTGGACCCAGTGCTCAGTCTATGGAGAACTGCTGGACCCAGTGCTCAGTCTATGGAGAACTGCTGGACCCAGTGCTCAGTCTATGGAGAACTGCTGGACCCAGTGCTCAGTCTATGGAGAACTGCTGGACCCAGTGCTCAGTCTATGGAGAACTGCTGGACCCAGTGCTCAGTCTATGGAGGGCTGCAGAGTTCAGTATTCCGTCTATGGAGAGCTGCAAGGTTCAATATTCAATCTATAGAGAGTGGCAGGGTTCGGTGTTCAGTCTATGGCGAGCTGCAGGGTTCATTATTCAGTCTATGGCGAGCTGCAGGGTTCAGGGTTCAGTCTATGGAGAGCTGCAGGGTTGATTATTCAGTCTATGGAGAGCTGCAGGGCTCAGTGCTCAGTCTATAGAGGGCTGCAGGGTTCAGGGTTCAGTCTATGGAGAGCTGCAGGGTTCAGTCTATGGAGAGCTGCAGGGTTCAGTCTATGGAGAGCTGCAGGGTTCAGTCTATGGAGAGCTGCAGGGCTCAGTCTATGGAGAGCTGCAGGGCTCAGTGCTCAGTCTATGGAGGGCTGCAGGGTTCAGTATTCAGTCTATGGAGGGCTGCAGGGTTCAGTATTCAGTCTATGGAGGGCTGCAGAGTTCAGTATTCAGTCTATGGAGAGCTGCAAGGCTCAGTATTCAGTCTATGGAGAGCTGCAGGGCTCAGTATTCAGTCAATTGAGAGCTGCAGGGCTCAGTATTCAGTCTATGGAGAGCTGCAGGGCTCAGTATTCAGTCTATGGAGAGCTGAGGGCTCAGTATTCAGTCTATGGAGAGCTGCAGGGCTCAGTATTCAGTCTATGGAGAGCTGCAGGGCTCAGTATTCAGTCTATGGAGAGCTGCAGGGTTCAGTATTCAGTCTATGGAGGGCTGCAGGGTTCAGTATTCAGTCTATGGAGGGCTGCAGGGTTCAGTATTCAGTCTATGGAGGGCTGCAGGGTTCAGTATTCAGTCTATGGAGGGCTGCAGGGTTCAGTATTCAGTCTATGGAGGGCTGCAGGGTTCAGTATTCAGTCTATGGAGAGCTGCAGGGTTCAGTATTCAGTCTATGGAGAGCTGCTGGGTTCAGTATTCAGTCTATGGAGAGCTGCTGGGTTCGGTATTCAATCTATGGAGGGCTGCAGGGTTCAATATTCAGTCTATGGAGAGATGCAGGGTTCAGTGTTCAGTAAGTGGAGTGGGTGGGTTGTGGAATCAGTCCATGCAGTTCTGTTGGTTAGAATCTGAATTCAGCAGTCCATGAGGGCCGTAATCAGTGCAGGGTATTTCTGAGTTAAATCATGCGCTTGTCACTCTGATTCCACAGTTTTTGTATTCTTGCAGACCACCCTTAGTGTCATTATGTCATTTGTCAGTATCTATTGTATTTACAAACTGCTTTGGCTGTGCTTGCTCCCACCTGTCCTTATCACTCACACAATAAAGATAAGAGTGAAACACCTGCTGGAATCTTGTTGACTCGGCTTAACAAGAAATCTCGATACACAGGGTCAGGGCTGTCTGACCTTTCACACCCAGCCGGGCCCCTCAAACCTGATCTGTATGGAACTGGGAGTGCCTCTCCACCTGCCGTGCTCTAAATGCCATCCATCCAGAAAACCTGAACTGGCCATCTGATACCTAATCTTCAAACTTCACAGGATATTAAACATGTATCTCAAATAAGTAATTACTATCAATATATACCTTCCTATAATTATAGTACAATAATATAATGTTTGCATCTAAATGTATGATGTGCATTGAGTAACGGTGTTATCAAGAGATATTACAGGGTAGCGGTGTTATAGATAGATATTACAGGGTAGTGGTTTTAACGAGAGATATTACAGGGTAGCGGTGTTACCGAGAGATATTACAGGGTAGTGGTGTTATAGGTAGATATTACTTGGTAGTGGTGTTATATATATATAGAGAGAGATATTACAGGGTAGCTGTGTTATAAATAGATATTACATGGTAGTGGTGCTATATAGAGAGATATTACATTGTAGCGGTATTATAGAGAGATATTACTTGATAGTGGTGCTATAGAGATATTAGAGCGCCCTCTGTGTGTGTCTATAATACTGTTTGTATAATACACAGCGCTCGCTCTCTGTGTGTGTATAATATTGTGTGCATAATACAGATGTCAAAGGCAGCAGAGAGGTCAAGAAGTATTAGTATGGAATAGTGACCTTTGGATTTAGCTGCGATTAGGTTGTTAGTAACTTTGATAAGCACAGTCTCAGTAGAGTGGAGGGGCGGAAGCCGGACTGAAGAGGGTCAAGGAGAGAGTTGAAGTTGAGGAAGCTCGGTGCTCTCTGTGTCTAACACACTGTGTATAATACACGGCGCTCTCTCTCTGTGTCTATAATACTGTGTGTATAAACCATGGCGCTGTCTCTCTCTGTGTCTATAATACTGTGTGTATAAACCATGGCGCTGTCTCTCTCTGTGTCTATAATACTGTGTGTATAATACACGGCGCTCTCTCTCTGTGTCTATAATACTGTGTGTATAAACCATGGCGCTGTCTCTCTCTGTGTCTATAATACTGTGTGTATAAACCATGGCGCTGTCTCTCTCTGTGTCTATAATACTGTGTGTATAATACACGGCGCTCTCTCTCTGTGTCTATAATACTGTGTGTATAAACATGGCGCTGTCTCTCTCTGTGTCTATAATACTGTGTAAAATACACGGCGCTCTCTCTCTGTGGCTATAATACACGGTGCTGTCGCTCCCTGTGTCTATAATACTGTGTGTATAACACATGGCGCTGTCTCTCTGGGTCTATAATACTGTGTGCATAATTGTAGCAGAGAGGTAGTATAATCCACAATATCTCCGCTGGTAGACAGGAACAGCATATAATAATCCAGGTAGAACAAGTACAGCATACAATAATCCCGGTAGCGTTATATAAATCCTTCCTTCCCAAGAACTAGACGACACATAGGCTGGGAGTCAACTGAGGTTTTAATCACAGGTCACAGTATTTATGTGGTTCCCCATGCAAGGGGTTTCCTTAATCACTCTACAGGGGTTGTACAGTAGGAGACTACATGGGGAATTTAACAACCAGGACATTTCTCCCACCATGCACTGCTGTACGAGAGCGATACTCCCAGTAGAATATCCAGTTAAGTGGATTATCCCTCAGTGTAGCAGAACTGGCTTTTTACATAAAAATATATAACTTTAATATTATTCGTGCTATATTACCGAATGACCATTCGGCAGAAAGTACTGTGAAAGTACCGCTCAGATCCCAGCACAATTAGCCGCACGAAGTACACTTGAACACACATTTTTCACCAAAGTCACGAATACACATGTAGAGATAAAATACCGAAAGACCGGTGCTCCCGAACTGCCTGGAAGTCCAGCGATATTCGTGCCGTCGAGTAGCCGATTTTAGTTCCAGGCACTCGACAACAAAATACCGCTGGGCTAACAAAGGATCCAAGATGGCGACCGCCGCGTGGTCGGTATCCGAACGGCGGCCACCCTGAACATCTATTAACTACTGAAAGATACAATGTTTTGATCCGTAATGGGAGCCACACGACCTCCTGTGTCGTCTCCCATTCGGTAGTTTGTTCGTTTCAAACAGTGTTGAAAGGGAACATGCACAGTTCAGATAGCCTTAAAGCTATAATACCACATGAATGTGGAAATTAAGTTGCTAGTTTTGCCACAATAATACACAGCACTGTCTCTCTGGGTCTATAATACGGTGTGTATAATACACGGCGCTCTCTCGTCTATAATACTGTGTGTATAACACATGGCGCTCTCTCTCTGTGTCTATAATACTGTGTGTATAATACACGGCGCTCTCTCTCTGTGTCTATAATACTGAGTGTATAATACACGGCTCTCTCTCTGTGTCTATAATACTGTGTGTATAATACACGGCGCTCTCTCTCTGTGTCTAATACTGAGTGTATAATACACGGCGCTCTCTCTGTGTCTATAATACTGTGTGTATAATACACAGGGCTCTCTCTTTGTGTCTATAAAACTGTGTGTAGAATACACGGCGCTGTCTCTCTGGGTCTATAATACTGTGCATAATAAACGGCGCTCTCTCTTTTGGTCTATAATACTGCGTGTATAATACACGGCGCTCTCTCTTTGTGTCTATAATACTGTGTGTATAATACACGGCGCTCTCTCTCTGTGTCTATAATACTGAGTGTATAATACACGGCGCTCTCTCTGTGTCTATAATACTGTGTGTATAATACACGGCACTCTCTCTTTGTGTCTATAATACTGGGTGTATAATACACGGCGCTCTCGCTCTCTGTGTCTATAATACTGTGTGTATAATACACAGGGCTCTCTCTTTGTGTCTATAAAACTGTGTGTAGAATACACGGCGCTGTCTCTCTGGGTCTATAATACTGTGCATAATACACGGCGCTCTCTCTTTTGGTCTATAATACTGCGTGTATAATACACGGCGCTCTCTCTTTGTGTCTATAATACTGTGTGTATAATACACAGGGCTCTCTTTTTGTGTCTATAATACTGTGTGTATAATACACGGCGCTCTCTCTCTGTGTCTATAATGCTGTGTGTATAATACACGGCGCTCTCTCTCTGCAGCGGCCGGTTGGCATTAAACATTCTCCTGTCCTCATTCCCCTTTTGTCCTGGATTGCTGTGTGAGTGAAAGCTCGTGTTACTTGCTCGGCCTGGCTCGCTGAGCGTATACACACAGGAAGCTAGCCGTGAATGACTGAGCTCTCAGTCTGCGTTTAGGATATTTAAAGGCACAGCTCACTTTAATGGCAGAGTTACTGTTGTCAAATCAGATAGTTACTATTGGTTGCGTCAAGGAATATTTATAATAAAATTGGGGGGCCAGATCTTTAGCTGTAGAACTACAAACCCCATGATGCTTTGCAGCAGTGTGCAGTCTTCATTTCTGTAAAGAAGTCTTAAAATATTATATATTTTTTTAAAATATATTTTACATGTAAAATTATCTCAAGGTTGTTCATTGAACATTGTATTGTTGGTGACTTGCTAATTCTGACTGTTTGCATTTTTGCTACTTTTGACCAAGAATTTTCCATTCCTGGTGAATTATTGACCATTCATATTTCAGTAAATAACCTCCTGTTTGTTTTTAATGTAGCGTAAATAGTAATGTCCAAGCAGCATCGCTGGGGGCCACTGTCTCTTATCCCCCCCACTTTAGCTGCAGATCATCACATTATTTGCAACCGCAGATCACTTTTAAAGGTTTGTGCTCGGATAACCACATTCGCTGGAATCAATTCTACACAATTAGCGGCACTTCCTGTTAACCTGTTCAGTTCTGGCTTCTCCTCCGCATGTCCAGGGGCTTTTCAATTTTCACTGTTTTTACATAAAGTAAGGTGTTTACGGTGGTTGGTATGTAGCCTAGCAACACGATGGGATTTGAGAAACCTGACACATTTTGTACCATTTTAAAGGCTGTGAAGGTATTAATGCATTGTTTTTACTTTTTGTTGTAACATCCTGTAACAGAACCATCTGTCTTTAAAACTGCTTTTATTCCCTTTGGTTCGTCTGTTTGTTCGGCTCTTTCCCTGTCAGTACAGTCCCCACGCTTTTATTCCCTTTCTACCGAACAATTTGCCGAACGCCCGGCCACCCAGCATGGAAGTGTGCTGCTTGTTAACCTCTTGGCCTCATTAGAACATTGTGGTTGTAGCGGAGTAGCAGGGTTTAATCCAATAGCTCTCCGCTGGGAACAAAGATTCAGCATACAAAAATCACAGAAACACAGCATAATCCACCTCCCCAAGGACTAGACGACACAGTCTGGGAGTCAACTGTCAGCTTTATTCACAGGTCTGCTTTTATGCATTTCTCCCATGCAAGGGAGGTAACTTTCATAATTAGTACAGTAGCCAATCATAACATGGTCACCTCCCATCCCTCTCCTCCCCTTAGATTAGCCCTTAAACAGATTAATGGGGACAGAGTTTTCTCCACTTTATGGATGTCCCCTAAATACAGGGGGTACAGGTTTAAATAAGGGGTCCCCTGGTAGGTCTGATCTGGGTGAGCAACATACTCAAAATTCACCCAGATCGGACCAGGGGTTCGGGGGTTACAGTCATTGAAAGATTTGACCGACCGCAGTGTTCGTCGACGATTTCATGGAACTAGAAACGGACACTATTTTCTCACGAACACCGCTGAAGCCGCCGACCTCCCTTCTTCTATTTCTCAGTTCATACAAACAATGTACTGTTCTGTACTTTTTCTTACGAACGGAGTCACCCCAGATAGCTATCCCATGGAGCCCATTCGTATAACAAAAGACTATGTTAAAGACTTTGGCTCCATGGCGATTGAACTGTATGTATGTGATCTGAGCGCTATTTGGTAATAATGTGCGCTCAGATCTAAGCTATCTGGGGATATGTTGAATGTATATGCTTCATTCGGTATTTTGTAAATTGTAGATTTCTATGCATTTTTCTCCTCGGAGATAATGGAGTTACTTCCCAATTATCTCCAGGATAGAGAGGAGTGTCCTAGACAGTGTAAATGAGAATGTTTATCCGTGTAGTACTGTGATTGGTCAATGCCACATTTTGTCACAGTTTTACACCAAGTCCCCTAGGGGAGTGTCCACCTGGTGGGAGACCTGCATAAATACCGGGCAGGTAGCCCCATTAAACCAGATTCCTGCTTGACCCTTGTAGCGGAGAGCTGGTATTTCACAGGTTATCTCCACTCAAGATCCCAGTGAGGCTCAGGAACAAGTATTAAAAATCCATAAGGCAATAATTACAGCAGGCAAGAAAATGCACGAATATCCCAATACGGATCTCAATGACTGGACGACACACAGCATCAGAAGCAGAACTTAACTTTTAAACCACACAACCTTCTTTTAAAGCTTTCTCCCACGCAAGGGAGTGATTCACATTAATTAGTACAGTATCCAATAGTGTAACTGTTACCTCCCACACATCTCCTCCCCTCAGTGTGACACATAATCCACTTATACATACTGCAGTTTTACCCGATTTCTGGATGTACCCCAAAACAGTCAGATAGAATTATATAATGGGTAACCCCTGATCTGGGTGACTAACATATTCAAAATTCACCCAGATCGGACCAGGGGTTTGGGAGTTAGGTGGAAGAGGCAATTTGACCGACTGCACACGAGGTAGTATTCGAAAAAGGCTCAATGTGTTTTTGCCTTGCGGTCGGTCTCTGTTCGTGAGATAAAATGCATAGAAATAATTGCCATCCAAAGTTAAATCTGTATTCATATTAATTCCCTTGTTCTGAACATTTATTTTACCGAACGATGGGCTGGTTGGCCCCTCTGTTCTGGAGTTACGGAGCTCTGGAGGTCTCAGCGGTGTTTGCCTAGTCGAGTGTCCGATTTTAGTTCCAGATACTCGTCGGCAAAACACTGCTGTTGGGGAGTTTAAGATGGCTGCCGCCACATGTTCGTCTCCCGAACGGCGGCCACCCAGAGGACAAAGCACACACTGCACTTGTGACGAGACCAATCTCGCCACATTGCATTGGAGAAGCCGGGTTGCTCGCCTGTTGCCTTGGGATTATGGCCCCATGTTAAAAGGCTTGATTTTCCCCTGCAAAGACAAGAAAGCTGCGTCATTTAGTCCTTGCCCTGTTTGAGCAGGGATACCCCAGATAGCTATGCCATGGAGCCCATTCATATAATGAAAGGCTATGGGAAAGACTTTGGCTCCATGGCAATTGAACTGTATGTGTGTGCTCTGAGCGCCATTCAGTAATAATGTGCGCTCAGACCTAAGCTATCTGGGCTTATGTTGCATGTCTGTATTTTATGTCATAAATGTAACCTTGTGTATTTTATTGTATTTTACTGTCTTTTTACTGCCATGTGTTCAATGGAGTTTTGCCTCTGTCTTTGGAGATAATTGGATTACTTCTAATTATCTCCAGGATAGAAGACTCTGTGGAACTGGTTTTGGGCCGAAAAGCCATGCTTCCTGTGGTCACAAAGGACTACGATCTAGCTTTTGAACCACTGGACTAATTTGTATGATTTTGACGTATGTTTGTATTTGGAGTATGCTGATTCTGAAAATGTAAGTATGTGAATGTGATGCATACATTTCAAGTTATGAATAATGTGGAAAAATTGTATTTCTCTGCTTGTGCTAAATTACATTACCCATTGTGTAAGGTAATTGAATCACATGCAGAGGGGAGGAATTTGTGTGGGAGTGTCTGAGTGTATTGTATGTGTTTATTGGTTGTGTTCCAAAACCCTGTGGGTGGTACTAATGTTTAAGAATGTGTACATAAGCACAATAAACCCACAGCTCTGTCTGTTCACTGCTTGACCCTCAACACTGAGCTTTGTCTCGTTCTTGGGGGGGGGGGGGATTTATTGTATGCTGTTCCAGTTTGACTGCTAGCAGTGTAAACCTATTCGTATGGTTTTTCCTATTCGGCTGTTTACAGCATTCATATGGTTTCCTGTTCGGCGGATTGGTGTTCTGCAGTAGCTGTGCCTGCATCTCTGGAAGGGGACGATCGCCTAAGCGGTTTTAACCCCTTGTGTGCTGAAACGGTCCGTTACAGCACTGATTGCCAATTATGAGTTTGCAACATTGTTGCGAACGGTAATTGGAGGCACACTTATTCCTGGGGTGGTCTGATTGTTCGGTAGTTTCACTCGCATAATAAATGGAGTGATTTTACCGAACAATCAGCCGAATGCTGCATACAATATACATACTGTAACGGACCGTTTTGCCAAAAAGAGGTTTAAAACCGTTTAGGCGATATTCCCCTTTTTCAGCTGCACCGACAGCTACTGCAAGCACCGATCTCCCGAACTGCACACCCACGAATTCACCAACTCCCAAACTGCAACCAAGGGAATACTCGAAACTCCCGAACTGGAGACACACGAATAGCTGCTAGCAGACGAACAGGAAAAGCCCCCAAGTGTCTTACACTCCTGGCAATCAGTCTCTAAGAGCATACAGTAAATCCTCCCCCAATAATGAGACGACACTTCACTTTGAGGGTTAAGCAGGAACTGATTTACTGGGGCTAACTGCCCGGCTTTTATGCAGGTCTCCCACCTGGTGGACACTCCCCTAGGGGACCAAATGGGAGACTGGGACACAAAGGGTAAAAGGACCAATCACAGACTTACACATTTCAACCATCCCACAATGCATCACAATCCCTCCTCTCTGCCCTGGAGATAATTGGGAAGTAATTCAATTATCTCCAAAGACAGAGGCAAAACTCCATTAACCACATGGCAGAAAACAAACAGTAAAAGACATAAAATGACCTACAGTTACATTCAGTACATAAAACCTATATGTTCTACATATCCCCAGATAGCTCAGGTCTGAGCGCACATTATTAAGCGAATGGTGCTCAGACCACACGAATACAGTTTAATCGCCATGGAGCCAAAGTCTTTACACAGTCAGTTTCATGCGAATGGGCTCCATGGGATTCCTATCTGGGGCACAACACACTCAAAACAAAACTACCGAACACCGGGCCGTTCGTGCACTTTCACCGAACAAGAAGGGAGGTCGGCGGCTTCAGCGGTGTTCGCGCAAAACTGTGTCCGATTTCAGTTCCATGAATTAAGCGTCGAACACCGCTGTGCATTCGCATGTTTAAAATGGCCGCGACCTCGTGTTCGTGATACGAATGGCGGCCACCCAGCATTCGTCAGTTAAGCTGTGGTTAACTGCAGCTTCAGGGAGGTTAATTGCCGGCACACTCCAGCTCCCAGGTGGTCTATTCATTCGTGCAGTTGTTCGGTAGATTGAATCTACCGAACACCCGGCAGAAAAGCACGAATAAGTCTTTTCTGCATGGAAAAAGATGTCTTTTAACATGTGGCCATAGTCCAAAGGCAGCAGGCGAGCAACCAGGCTTCTCCAGTGTACAGTGGCGAGGTTGGTTTCGCCACACATACATAGGGCAAAAATTAAACAAAAGCATATTAAAACACAATTTTGTGGACAGCCCAATGCCATTCGCTGCAACCCTCAATACAGAGCCTCGTCTCGTACTTGGTGGGATTATTTGTAGGGTTTTCCTGTTCGGCTGTGTGGAGTGTGGATTATTCGTATGCTTTCTTGTTCGGCAGCTGCCTCTACATTCGGGAAGGGAATATCCTAACGGCTTTAACCCCCTTTTTTACCCGGGGTGCCGTTGCACATCCTTTGACAGCTTTTTTCAGGTAGACGCAAGAGCCATAATTCATGTTATAATGATTTCTATGTAGACAAATGGGCGAATGGGCCACCACATTCAGACCACTTCATCTGGTCTGGGTGCCATTTCTGCTCCTATAAAAAACCTGGCCGTTCCACGGGTGATGTGTAATGTGTGTGGATTACCGAGGGCACAGTTATCGGAGTCCGCTGAATATATCTCCCTAGTTATGGGTGATCAACATAGGCCGGGCATGTTTATTCAGAACACTGGAAATTGTGAGTATTGATGATTTTTCCAATTATAAGAGCTCAGCTTATTTGGGATACATTTTTTTTTATTTTGTCTTTCAGTTCATTGGTTCCCTGGTTTTGTGAAGAAAGCCCTAGACTTATTCATCATCATAGCCACTACAGCCAGAGTACCCTGGCCCGATTCCCTAGGAACAGGTCAAAGAGTTTGCCCCCATAACCTGGTTACCTCTGGGATCCGATGCTCCCAGATTGTCCGGTTCCACGATTCCGGCCTTGCAGAACCACAGAAACTGTGTCCGTCGCCATTCGTTGTCTGTAGCATCAGCTAACCGCCAATGAAAATTTAAGAAAGAAAGATAAAGATATAGATATAGATATAGATATAGATATATATATATATATATATATATTTTGTAATAATGTTACATAATTAAGTAATTTTATTAATTACAATTTGCGGGACCTGCCTGATAACCCAGGTAGAAAGTCCAGGGAATTTAATTTGCAAGCCCTATATTTAACCCTGTAACTTTCCAAGACTCTATAAAACCTGTACATGGGGGGTACTGTTTTAGTCGGATGACTTTGCTGAACCCAAATATTAGTGTTTTAAAACAGTAAAATGTATTACAACGATGATATCGTCAGTGAAAGTGAAGTTTTTTTTGCATTTCTCACACACAAACGGCACTTACAAGGACGATATGATTGTTGTGATACGTTTTACTGTTTTGAAACACTAATATTTGTGTTCAGCGAAGTCTCCTGAGTATAACAGTACCCCTCATGTACAGGTTTTATGGTGTTTTTAAAAGTTACAGAGTCAATTATAAGGCTTGTGTTTCAGTTTTTTCACATTGAGATTCGCCAGATTGGTTATGTTGCCTTTGAGACCATATGGCATCCCAGGAATAAGAATTATCCTCATGATGGCATACCATTTGCAATAGTAGACAACCCAAGTTATTGCAAATGTGGTATGTCTAGCCTTTTTTAGTAGCTACTTAGTTACAACCACTGGCCACAATTGGCATTCAAATTATTTCTTTGCATTTTCCCCACACAAACAAA